CCTCTCACTGTTGTGGCCTCTCCCGTTGCGGAGCACAGGCTCCGGAGGCACAGGCTCAGCGGCCATGGTTCACAGGCCCAGCCGCTCCGCGGCTCGTGGGATCTTCCCGAACCGGGGCACGAACCGTGTCCCCTGCATCGGCAGGCAGACTCTCAACAACTGCGCCACCAGGGAAGCCCTATATTTACTTTTATATTAAAGAAAATAAGTTGTCTCTGAATGATTGGGTAATACATAATTTCTGTTATATTCTTCTATATGTACCAAATGTTCTACAATGAGTTTTGCAATACACCCCCAAAAAAAAGATAAAATGAGGGAGAAGAAGGTAGCCTGAGATAAATAGAGATAAATTCAGCAGCTATTATTCAAAGTAACCAGCTTCATCCAGTTTTACAAAATGTCCACAGTATAGTAAAAACAAGTTTTTATAGAAGTGGGACACACACACACACACACACACAAAAAGCAAGCAGAACTGATGTTAGGTTCTTAAAAAACAAAAGAAGTTATTTGACTTTTAAAACGACAGCAATCCTGGAAACAGAATTATATTATATTATCAGTGGGTAATATTCAGCATTAAATGTACTGAACGTTTTATTGCTTCATACCTTTATTTGTGGCAGATCCATCTTTGATCTTTTGTTTCAGTGACTGCAGCACATTTTGCACTTGTTCAAATATGAAATCCACTTTCCCATCATCTTCTAGCTCCATCCAGAAAGTTTTTGCATCACCTAAAGAAAAAATAATAGCCTAAGAGCTCAATAGACATAATTTTCCTAAGGCACATGTTATTAAAAATATACTTTGTTTCTAAATAAAAATCAAAATTTAACTGGCCTATTACTTTCCTTGAAGAAAAAGATTTTGGTCACTGTTTCTTTACAACGACCTACAAGCAAAAAATATGACCTGGGTATCTCATTTATTTCTGATAATTAAAAAAAAAAATGTGTTGAAAACTTTAGTGACACTATTTTTTTTTTTAACTTTAAATGCCTAAACAATTTATTTTTCTTTCTGTGTAGTGACACTATTTCTTGACTGGAAAACAGAACGAATGACTTCATTCTAGGGGTGGGAGTGGGTGTATTTATAGACATTCATTTAAAAAATTTCAAGGACATAACCTCCACTGAGGTTATGGAAGTGGAGGGTTCCAGAAGGAACCTCTGAGTATGGAAGTGGAGGGTTCCAGAAGGAAACATCTCAACAATTGTTGAAATAACTAAATGTCTAACAATAATGCTTTAAAAACTATCTTTGATAGTAACTTTTTAATAATTATGTTAACTGAAAGAAAAATGCACAACCTACAAGTTGCACATTATGGTTTATTTGGCAAACAACTGAGGACCACAGCCTGGGAAACAGCCTCTCAGACAGCTATGAGGAACTTCTCTGAAGAGGTAAGGGAAGAGCCAGAATATACAGAAGTTTTTTGCTGGGGGGGAGTGGAGGCTAGGGGGTGGTGGTAATAAAACATGTAGTCAAACATCAAAAGATTACTGCTAATCACAAAAGACAGACATCTCAGTTTAATGATTTTAGTGCTTTTCTGTGTCTGGGGAGATGCAAGAGTTTGGGCTCATTGAAGTTATTCCTCAGACATGCATCTTAACTATCTAGGACTAGTATCCGGTTTTTCTACACTCTGAATTCCCCTCAGGGCGTGCTGCTGGGGGCGGATGTAGTGGATGACGGCTTGATGGCAGGAAATATTCACTGTTTACTGAAACGGCAGGCAACATTTTTTGTTCACACTTACAGGAGGCAAAATAATGTTTAAAGCTTTTATAGATAAAGTTATATAGATAAGCCAACATTTCAGATGCCCAGCAAGCTAACACCTTTATCAAAAATTTTCTAGGGCTTCCCTGGTGGCGCAGTGGTTGAGAGTCTGCCTGCTAATGCAGCAGACACGGGTTCGAGCCCTGGTTCGGGAAGATCCCACATGCCGCGCAGCAACTGGGCCCGTGAGCCACAACTACTGAGCCTGTGCGTCTGGAGCCTGTGCTCCGCAGCAAGAGAGGCCGCGACAGTGAGAGGCCCGCGCACCGTGATGAAAAATGGCCCCCGCTTGCCACAACTACAGAAAGCCCTCGCACTGAAACGAAGACCCAACACAGCCAAAAATAAAAATAAATAAATTTATTTAAAAAAAAATTTCTAGCAAAATCATCCTTTCAAAGCTGAAAACAGAAATACGAGAAATGCAATTAAAATAAATTGGCAAAAGTCAAATCTTACACCATGTTTAAAAGTAACAGGAGCTTCCCTGGTGGCTCAGTGGTTGAGAGTCAGCCTGCCGATGCAGGGGACACGGGTTCGTGCCCCGCCGGGAAGATCCCACATGCCGCGAAGCAGCTGGGCCCGTGAGTCATGGCCGCTGAGCCTGCGCGTCCGGAGCCTGTGCTCCGCAACGGGAGAGGCCACAACAGTGAGAGGCCCGCATACAGCAAAAATAAATAAATATATAAATAAAAAATAAAAGTAACAAAAAATACCTAAAATGTTAAACACAAATTATTTATAAAATATATAAAATTAATGTATAAAATGTTTAAAATGAATAGGGCCTTAAGCAAAGGAGAAATATAACAATAACTGCACTGTAGAAACGTCACTTGAGAAGCCATTGGGAGGATTAATGAGCAGACAGCACATTAAGTTTACAAAAAATACATTTTCCTTAATATTAAAAATTAAACCCAGAACCTCCAAGTTGGTAATGGAGTGAGATTCTTCAAAAGAGGCTTAGGACTCAGAGTCTCAACTCTCCCTGGCAGTCATCTAACCAAAGGGGGACCTCTGGCTAATTAGGGCTGCTGCTACCATAGAAGCCTCAGGAGGGGTGCTGTTTCCCTGTTAACTCTCTGGCCTGATGTGTACTACACAAGACTAAGCCTACTTTTCCTTTTTCCCCATAGCACAGTTCAGACAAAGGTTTCAACATTTGAAAAAAATGCAATGTGAAAGGACAAAAGGAATGAGAAATGATGTTTTAGAGACAGATAGGGGCTGTGACATAGCCTTGAGTGCCATGCTAAGCAACTTTATTTTTATATGGAAGGCTATAGGGAGCCACTCAAGAGCTTTAAGCATCTTATTATGTTATTAATTTTGCTTCTAAAAATATCACTCAAGTGGCAGTGGGAAGAGGGACGAGACAAGAATGGTTTCTGTATTTCTGACTCAGGCAACCATATGTATAATAATGGTATCCACTGCGATAGGGAATAAAGGTAGAGAGACAAGTGAGAAATTCAAGTAGGGTGAGTAAACTGAATGCACAGGCTCCAGGGTAAGATCTGGTCCAGATATACAAATTTTGGAGTCAATAGCACACAAATTCTTGCTAAAGCCACAGAATAGGTGTGATTAGAGAGAATTTGTAGAATGAGAAGAGGGTCTTCTGTAGAACATCAACATGGAGTGCTTACTAAATATATCGATAATGACCTAGGTATGTGTATATGTATATATTTATATTTCTCCATCCATCCCTTGAAGAGCTTCAGGGCATTGGTCCAGAGAATCTCTGGACACCTTTGAGCCTGTTATCAGCAAAGTGTAGTCTATGAACTCCTGAGAGTTCCCAAATCCTTTCAGACAATACGCTAGGTCAAACAATTTTAATAGTAATATCAAGACATTATTTGCCCTTTTCTTCCCTATACTGACATTAACTGATGGTTCAAAAGCACTGGTGAGTAAAAATGTTGGAGCCTTAGTGTGAATCAAGGCAGTTGCACCAAACTACTAGTAAGTCATTATTATTATTTACCACCAATTTCACTTAAGAAGGTCCTTGATAAAGCAACATAAATAATTACCACACACACAAAAAAATAATAAGTACCAGAGTACAATGGCTGTTTCAAGGAAAAGCACTAGGGAGATTGTTTGAGTTGTAAGCTAAACTAGCTGTTTTTTTTTTTTTTTATAGAAAACCATTTTTCCTTAAAAGAACCACTAATAAAAATTATGTTTTTTCCAACTTGGGTGTTTGCTACACATTTTCTCAAACATGAATAAAGGAAACCTATCACTTGAAGGACAAAAGTAACAGTATTTGTTGCTAATGAAAAATTTAAGCTATCAAGTTGAAACTGAAAATTTAGAAAACTTGCATCTGCCATGGTAAGCTTGAGAGCTTCTCAATAACTAATCACTTTTTGATGAGATTGGTAGCAATATTAACAAATGTAATTTTTAAATACTGTATGATTAAATGTGTCAACATTTGGAAAAATCTGCATAACTCATTGAACCAATGTTTTACAAGTGGCCAATGCATGATGTTATAAAATCATACGTGTAAAAGGCCCATCAAAGTGCAAGAGAAACCAATGGATTTTTAATGTAACATAGTGTAAAAAAAGCTCACTGATAAGAATTCAGATTCCACACTATAACTAACCTTGAAGGAATGACTACTTGTTGAGTTTTGTAGTTGTATCAAAGAAAAATATCCACAATTATCTGAGAGGCTATTAAAATATTCTTCCTTTTTCCAACTTCTTGTCTGTGTGAAGCTTCATTTTCTTTATACATTTACACCAAAGCAACATATCACAACAGACTGAATGCAGAAGGAGATCTGAGAATCTCTCTTCTATTAAGCCAACTATTAGAGATTTGTAAAAATATAAAACAATGGTTTTCTCACTAATTATTTTCATTTCAGAAAATAGTTATGTCTCACAAAAATGTAATTTGTTAACATGTTGGGTTTATTATTTAAAAAAAAAATAAGCCAAGTACCATTTTTGAAGCTTCTCAGTTTTCTAATACAGTAAATATGAATAGATATTATCCACATAAACAAAAACTGTTAGGGGTTTTAAACACTTTTAAGAGCATAAAGTAGTCCTGAGACCAAAAGAAAGTTTAAAACTGCTGGCCTAGATAACTGTCCAGTAAAATTAGTACTACAATCTGTAAACAATCCGCATATTACAAGTATGTTAAAGGGTGGTGAAACTATTCTGTATGATACTGTAGTGGTGTATACATGACATTATGCATTCGTCAAAACCTATAGAACTTGAGGGCTTCCCTGGTGGCGCAGTGGTTGAGAGTCCACCTGCTGATGCAGGAGACACGGGTTCATGCCCCGGTCCGGGTAGATCTCACATGCCGCGGAGCAGCTGGGCCCGTGAGCCATGGCCGCTGAGCCTGCACGTCTGGAGCCTGTGCTCTGCAACGGGAGACTACAACAGTGAGAGGCCCGCGTACCGCAAAAAAAAAAAAACACCTATAAAACTTGAAAGCACAAAGAGTGAAGCTTAATGTATGCAAATTTTAAAATATAATTTAAGATATCAGGGATCCCAGGAAGGAATGTATACACAACCTCTCTGAAGGGCTGAGTGGAAAAGGTGCTGACCTAAATAACTTTGGAAATAAATGGACTCTGTAAAACTATAGGCAAAAGGAAGTTGCACAAGCACTGAGGTGTCACACCTGGGAATAAGTTTACAGTACTTCTGATACTGCTATACATATATACTAGAATCGAGCAATTAAATAAATGGATAACAGATAATGGGAATTTATAGATAAGCAAGGAGAGTAAGCTAGAATAATCCATGTGGTAATGGATTAGAGCCAGAAACATCAGTATAAACTCATGTTTAGCTCAATACAGATACAGATGGTTACATATAGAAATATTTATAGATATGTGTACATACATTTATATTTATATATACCTTGCTCTGTCAGCTGAGAGGGCCAGAAGCAAGACACCCCAATAACAAATTAACACACCTACTGCCCAGATCTTAGTTTGTAATACCATTCTCCAATAAAAGGAACCAGGAGGGCTCATTCAAGAAATGGCTCATTCTAGGACTATGGCAATATACAAGATGAGCCTGGAGCATCATACAGTACCAGAAAATAAGGAAGTGCTAAAAACCAAAAACAAAGAACAAAACAAAAACCACCTATATTGATGGGGGTATGTCAAAGAGACAGGAAGCTGACCGAAAGAGCTCCAAATGCCAAATCTGGGACAATTTGAAGAACAAAATGAAACAGTACTGGATCATAACCCAAAGTATACAGTAAGTATCCATGAATCCATACTGATGTAAATAAATGATTGAATAAAACATATACTGGGGAGGAGACAAATCTCCCTTGCAGAAGAATTCTGAAAAATTAATGTAAATATTCTGTTCTCAAAGAGGAGGAGCATAAATTCATGTTCCTTAAGTATGGGCTACACACAGTGAATTCCTGTCAAAGAGTACAGTAGAGAAAGGGAGAAAAAAAAGAGTAGTAATTTACAGTGCAAAAGCCACTTAACACTATGTCAGCCAGGTGATCTAGCTCAACAACAGCAGGTGAGAAATCATGTTGGTAACATGCGCCCTTGATATCATTTCATAAAACTGACACTTTACCTCTATGGTCTTCCTCCCCAAAATCCACTACCCCAATCTAATCGCGAGAAAAACAAAAATCAGTCAAAAAGTCCAATGAAGGGGCATCTTACAAAACACTTGGATACAAAATCTTACAAAAACAAAGGAAGTCTGAGAAACTGTCATATGCAAAAGAACCCTAAGGAGACATAAGTGTAATGTATCCTGGATGGGATCCTGGAATAGAAAAAGACATAAAGTAAGGAAATCAGAATAAACTATGGACTTCAGTTAATTATAATGGGTCAATAATGGTTCATTAATTGTAACAAATGTACCAGCCAAATGTAAGATTTTAATCATAGGCAGAACTGGGTGCAGAGAATATGAGAACTCTCTGTACTATCAATTTTTCTGTAAATCTGTAAGTTTTCTAAAAAAAAGAAAGTGTACTTTTTTTTTTTTTTTTTTTTTTTCGGTACACAGGCCTCTCACTGTTGTGGCCTCTCCCATTGCGGAGCACAGGCTCCAGACGCGCAGGCTCAGCAGCCATGGCTCATGGGCCCAGCTGTTCTGTGGCATGTGGGATCCTTCCAGACCGGGGCACGAACCCATGTCCCCTGCATCGGCAGGCGGACTCTCAACCACTGCACCACCAGGGAAGCCCAAAGTGTATTTTTTAAAAGTACATTAAGGTACTGACTTAGTATTACAGATACACAACTAATTATAAAGACAATCAAAATTGTTGCTACATGAGAGTAAATCCTATAAATCCTATTCTTTCTAATTCAGAAAAGTTACTTGCATAGAAAAACCTTGAAAATTCCACAATTCAGCTTCATTAAGTAGTCTATATACTTTTAAACATAAAGTTTAACAATGGTTTTTCAACCTACCATTTTTTTCTCCCATCTTTTGGCGTTGCTTACAAACATAAAATTCTTCAAAATTAACTTTATCAAAGAACTGAATCACTTTGATTGTAGAATATAACTGGAATCCAACTGTGGTCTCTATGAAATTTGCAGTACTCAGAGAAAATACATCATTATACCACTCTAAACCAAATATTCTTTGATACTTGAATTTTCAAGTAGAAATTGTGGTTGAAGAAACTTTCAGAAATGATCACTAGTCCAACTTAATGACAAGTCCATGCATCTTCATCAAGTGAATACATATAGTCGTATCAGATCATTGACAATATTATTTTAAAAATAAAAACCAACTCCATCTTTCGGTCCATGAATGCATGAAACATTCTGTAAGGAAAACAATAAGGAATGGTGCATATTTGTAAATAATAAAATACATAAGAAAAAAGAGATTGTTATAACAAAAGCGCTATCTTTTAAAACAGCATGAACTATTATGAAAAAAGAATACATATTAACTGGAAAAACATGTAAAATATCAATATTAGGAAAATTACAGAAAAATTAAGAATCATCTACTTAATATATGTTAATTAATATAACAGAAAAATTAAGAACCATCTACTTAATATATGTTAATTAATATAAACTATCTCCATTTTATAAAACTTTAAAAAACTTTTTAAATGGGGATAATAATGCTAACTACCTCAAAAGATTGTTGTTTGGTTAAGACTTAATCACCTAGAACAATACCTGTCACATTACAAAGGACTCAATAAATGCTAGCAATTATTATTATTCTTTCAGTATATATACTTTTAAAACTAAATTTGAATTTTAGTATGTATAATTTTTTATAATCTTTCATTGATAATATATTCTGTACTTTCTCTCGTCATTAATGTTTTCCTGTAATATGACTTTTAAGTGGCTGTATAATGTACTTTGGTCAATAATCCATATAATAAATTACACTAAAGAACAATTATTATGTTCTTTAGTATAATATGAACAATTATAAACAATTATGCAATTATTAAAATTTAATAAGTTAATAATTAGTACTATAAATAAACCTGTATAGTGTACATTTAGATTATTTCTATTTTTCCAGTATAATAAATAAGGCTGGAATATATCTTATGCATATCTCTGATTATTTCCTGAAGATATACACCTAGAGGTAGAACTAAAAGATATACACCTAGAGGTAGGTCAAAAAGAGATCAGCAATTTTAGTCTCAAGATGTTAGTCAACATATAAATTCTTCTCCCACTGCCACACCAAATCTGCAGAAATGGTAATTTTTTTTGTAATTAAAAATACAAAGTCATGCTGAAAACAAAAAGGGAATTCTCTATAGATTGAGTCTGTGCGACCTCTCTGGGAAAAGGAAACAGATGGGAAGTTGCAGAGATAATGCCAACCACAAACATCACCACGGCAAAAGGAAAAGTAAATCCTCTCAGAGGAGATGAATACACAACCAAGAACCATCAAACATATGAAGAAAGCTACACCATGAAAGAGACTTAACAAGCCTACCAAACTGATGAACTTATATTAAGGAGAATTAATAGAGCATCCTGAAAATAATTTTAAAGCAAATATTGTATTTAATATCAAAGAGCTAAAGAAGGAAACCTCATCTATGAAAAAACATACAATTTTTAAAAATAACCAATTGGCTATCTTGGATATAAAAACAGCTATTGAATAAACTCAATAGATAGATATAATAGCATAGACTCAGATGAAGAGCCAGTTGGTAAACTGAGAGACTGAGTTGAGTAATTCACTCAGAACACAGAGCAAAAAAAAAAGGAGGGATAACTAGAATGAAGAGGCAATAATGACCAAAAAATTCTCAGAACTGGAAAACACATTAGCCTACTAATGTGGCTAGTGTGGGTAAGGGTCCATTGAGTATCAAGCAAGATAAACTTTTTAATACATACCACTAGACAAACCATGGATAAACTTCAGAATATCAAGAAGAAAGACAAAGTCTCAGAAACTTTCAGAAAATCTAGATTATCTAAAAGGAATGTTTATCAGACTGGTACTCAGACTTCTCATCAGAAATGCCAGATGCAAAGTGTTAAGGGAAAATAAGTCTGAAGCCAGAATACTATTTCAGCCAAGGTATCTTTCAATGGTGGGTGGGGGTGGGGGGAAGGCATTTACAGACACTCAAAGACTCTGAAAGAAATAAAGTACTTCATGAATAAAAACTAACGTAGAAGGAAGTACTGAGGTAAAAGAAGCAAAAGTGAGCAAATAAATGAGTGAAACACATTAATGCTAGATAAATACAGATTACAAATGGGTTTTAATGACAAATGAAACCAAATTGCTAGAAGATATAACCATAGGAAATTTACATTCTTTTTTTTTTTTTTGCGCTACGCGGGCCTCTCACTGTTGTGGCCTCTCCCGTTGCGGAGCACAGGCTCTGGACGTGCAGGCTCAGCGGCCATGGCTCACGGGCCCAGCCGCTCCGCGGCATGTGGGATCCTCCCGGACCGGGGCACGAACCCGTATCCCCTGCATCGGCAGGCGGACTCTCAAGCACTGCGCCAACAGGTAAGCCCTATATTCTTTTTTGAAGGAGGGGTGGAAGAGGATTCTTGCAAGATCTGAAAAAATAGAGTAGAAGCATACTAAGTTCTTCGTAGGGAGGATATCAATACAAACGAAATGTAAACTTTGTTAGGAAAATATAAATTTAATAATTGTGTTAAAAATGTAAAAGTAGGGACTTCCCTGGTGGTCCAGTGGTAAAGAATCCGCCTTACAATACAGGGGACGTGGGTTCGATCCCTGGTCATAAAACTAAGATCCCACATGCCTTAGGGCAACTAAGCCCTCTCCCCGCAGCTACTCAGCTCGCTCTCAACTAGAGCCCGCGCACCCTGGAGCGTGCAAGCCACAGCTAAAGAAGCCCGCGCAAGACAATGAAGAGCCCGCGCGCCGCAACTAAGACCGACGCAGCCAAAAATAAATAAAATTTAAAAATAATAAATAAATCTTTAGAAAAAAAAGTAATCTATGAAAAAGAAAACAGAACAAAGAAAACCTCAATTAAAACCTTGGGTCAAACCTCAATTAAAATGAGAAATGGAAAAATATAAGATATAAAAGATACAATGGGAAGCAAGGTAAATAAGAGGACAAGAAAAAGGCCAATTATGTTAATAATCACAAAAAAGGTGAATGTGTTAAGTCTTACTTATTAAAGGACAGACTCTCAGATTAAATTGCAAGCAAAACCTAGCTATATTTTAAAATAAGAGACACACTTAAATCTCACAAAATGTCATCAAAAGGTTGAAATTAAGGGATGTGAAAAAAAAGACATACCAGCAAATACAAGAAGAAACATTCATATCAAACAAAATAGAAGTTAATATGAAAACCAATAAAAGAGACAAATATTTTACACTGACAGAACAATTCACCATGAATATCTAATTGAACTTATTGACTAAATACCAACTAGGCTCAAGAAAAAAAGAAAAAAAAAAACAATTAGAGGGATAAGTACGAAAAGGAAATTAAAACAATTAAAGACCTTACCAGAGCTGCATGCCACACATCCCCATTTCTCACTCCCAGTATACCAGGTCCAAAAAGTTTTATAGATGATTTCTACAAAACTTTCAAGGCATGGATAATTTCCATAGTAGACAAACTGTTCAAGAGCAGAAAAAATATGGGAGGCTACTCAACATTTTTTTGAGGTTACTGTAACCTTGACACATAAGAAAAGAAACTCAAGGCCAAATGCACTTCTTGGTATAGAAGCAAATATAGTAAGTAAAAACATGCAGCAGTAGAGTAAAAGTATGTTACCAAAGTATGGTTTATACCAGGAATACCCAAAAAGTTTAGCATTGTAAAGTTACTCAATGTAAATTTCTACATTAACAGATAAATAGAGGAAAACTATCATCTTAAATACAGAAAGACACACAAAAGAATTTCAATAAAAGTCAACAACTATTCTGGGGTGGGAGGGGGGGGAAGAGGAAGGACTCTTGCAAACTAGGAATAAAAGAGAATTTCTTTAACCCGATAAAGACTACCTACCAAAACAAAGAAGTAAATATCATATTCAATGAGGAAACATCAGAAGCATTTTCGTTACAGTCAGGCACCAGATGGGGACACTTGCCACCAATGGAAGTTTGGTACTGGAAGTTGTAGAGAAATACAGTAAAATAAAAAGAGACCTAAAGATTGTAAAGAAGAGAAAAATCTATCTGTAGAATAATTGAAAACTAACAAACTTAAAATTTTAACTTAAAGTTAAAAGCCAACCAAAGAGTTGGGAGAAAATGCTTGTAACATTTTTTAACAATGGTAACAAAAAGTGGACATAGCCACAAGACTCTAAAGAAATTTTTAAAAGCTATACAGGATACAAAGTAACCAGGACACACAAAGAACTCAAATCATTAAGAAAAAGATAATTCAATAGAAAAATGGGCAATTTAAAAAAAAATTATAGAAACATATATATTATAGGTCAATAAACATATAAATAGATACTGCAGTTTTACTGGTAATCAAAGAATGAAAAAAATTTTTAAATGAGTATAATTTTCATCCATCAGATGGACAAAAAGTACAAAGATAGTATCTCATGTTGATCTAGATTGTAGGGA